TACACTGTAGAAACTACTAAATGTAGCCGTCTCTTCTACTCCAATAGCATTTTTTTAGCAACATCGTAGTGTATCTCCTACGTTTTGGATCCACTTTTAAATGATCAGTTGCCTTTATTTTTCTCCTTGATCGGCGTACCTCAGGTAAAATCGTTGCAGGTGTTGTTAGATCAAACGTATCAAAAATCACCTCCATCAGCGTTTCTTCCGCGGGACCAGTCAACCACGTCTGAAGAGTGTCGTCTGATCTGGTTAATGTGCTGTCTGCTTGTGAATTTTTCAACTTTCACCAAGTACATCATATTGCCAATCCGCTTTTGTATTTTTTGGTACCTCCATAGTGTTACCAGAAACAACCTTCTGCTTTGAGCTTCTTAAGGATGGTGTCACAGTTTCTGTAGGTTCTTCTTGTGATTCTATTTGTTCAGCCTCTAGCTTCCCTTTTGTTGATCTTGTGCTTCTTAACGTTTTATGTGGTGACTTCAGTTGACTTAAATCATTTAATAATACTGCATGTCCTTGGCTTCAGATAACTCGCTCTCCAGTTTTTCTCGGTGTCGGCTTCATCTTTACTTTCTGGGGCTTTTTTTTTCACGTATACCATCAGTGTTGCCCATTCACTATATTCAACTTTTTTAAGTACACCGGTTTTCTCTAATCTGTCCAATTCTTTATCTATCTGTTCAATTGAGGCAAACAGCACATTCCTTTTCTTTTTGAATACCGCCTGAGCATTTTCTTTTAGCTGGAATTTTGCCTCCATCTTGGTATATGTTCCCAATCCCGAAGAAAAAACAGTAGGAAATGTTTCCTTAAGTTTCTTTATTAATTTTTGGGCTTTGGTGTTTAAACTTTCTACCTTGTAACAGAAGGAATTTATCAGTAGATTCCATAATTAAAATTCTGTTATCCAATTCATACCAAGTAAGTTCGTGGTATTTTCTATGACAAATAGTTTAGCTTTTCACGTTTTTTCATTTAACGTGATGTTTGTAACAAATTCCCCAATAAATTGTATTTTTTCTCCCGTCACTGACCTCACGATTTTCTTTGTCTTCATTAAAGTTGGTTTCTCCAACTTCTTCCACATATGCAAATTTATGATAGATCTGAGCCAGTGTCAAGTTGCATTTTTATATTTTTATTACTTATTTTGATGGTAACAAATTTTCTGGTCATTCCATCTTTTACCTCTTTGGACTTTAATCTTCTTATTTTATTGTCTTTATTTTTTGACCTACAATGCGTGCTTTTATGACCCGCTCTTTTACAGTTGAAACATTTTTATTCCTAAAATTGGAATATCTGTACCAGTGTAGTTCACCGCAAGCAAAACATGGTTTCGGGAGTTTTTGTTTATTTTTCTCTGGTATTTCACTTTTTGCTTGATAATCCGCAATTTTAGAATTCTTTTTGGTACACTGACTTTCTTCTTTGTAGCGTATTTTCCTTACATGCGAAATGCCAGACTGTTCGATCTTTTTCGAATTTTTCTTTACGCTAACATATCTTGTGCAGTTTTCTGCCAATTTCTGTACCGTAACACTTGGATCGCTTTCCAATTTTGCCAGTACTAATTTTCTCAACTCTGCGTCTCTTTCTGATACCAGGCCTTGAACAAACACTAAGCACTTAAAATTGTCAGCGCTTAACTCTGCCAGCTTGAATTCTTCACAATGCTTATTCACATTGGAAACAAGACGTTATATAGTCTTGTTCATCATCTTTCATCAGATTCAAACATTTCCACCTCTTGTGAAACAAAGATGTCTTTTTACTAAATAATTCACTCAATATATTTACCACCTCGGTAAATGTCAACTCGCTAGTTTTTTTTCGGTAAAATGTAGTTTACCAATTTGTTATGCTCAGCAGTTCCTAATTTGCTTAAAAGAAGCCTAACCTTCTTTCCTTCAGACCACGAGTGGCAGTCCTCATTATACACATCCATATATTTTTTATAATACTCCTCAAAAGTTATCTCTTCATCTGGACTGTACGTGAATATTTCAATTGAATTCCATATTGTATTCTCTGGGAAAGAATCATTTTGTAGATTTTTCTCTTTCCTCTTCTCAGTTATTTCCAGAATTTTGTTTTGAAACTCCCTAGGCATCTGTTCCATTTTTTGTTAGAATTGCATTTGTCTATTGAAAGTTTCCTCCTGTAGCTGCATCTGGAATGTTTTTTGTTGCTCTAATATTGTCATCTGTTGTTCCGACTGGAACTTAAAGAATTCCCGGAATATATTTTTGCATTCCTCCATCTTCACAAAAAGTTTACACAATGACTAAATACTGTGGGGGGGTCCTACAAATTTGCAATTTGTGACCTATTTGAGCAAACTGTATTATTGGGAGAAAAAAAAAATTTCTTTTCTCAGTTGAGAATACGACAGATTTTTTTGTCACTAAGTTGACGTCTTGGCTTGCAAAAAACTTTGACAAGATTTTTTTTTTTTTTTTTTTTAAGTGTGAATCCGAGACTTTTTCGCCGAAGTTATTGTGGCGAGCGAATTTTTTCTTCCTCCATATGAGGAATTGTTGAGGAGTTATTTTCGCAGTGGAGACTTGTATTTGTACTAAATTGGTCCTAAATAGTTCAACATACAAAACGTCAGGAACTTGCATAATAGGTATTACGCAGAGTAATCTTGTTGTGGTCGCTGACTACTTTCGTATTTGACTAACTGTTGTCCGACATCGACTGACCTTCATTTCTCTTACTACTTTTATTAGGTGGGAGAGTCTATTAACTATAGAATAGGTGTGTTTCACCATAACACCAGGTCTTTCCTCTGATTTAAAAAGTTTTTTATTCAATTGTACATAATGAGATTTTTTTGTCAATTTTAAAAACATCATATTGCAGCTTTTCCTCTTCACAACCAAACATTCAGTTATTGGATCTTTTTATTTTTTTTTCTACAATTTCTTGCATGAAACAAAGAACACAACTAAATTTTCTTAAATAATTTTGCCCGACCTACAACCTTTATTAAGTGAATAACCATAAAATAGAAAGGAAAATCCCAACAGAATCAATTTGTTTCTAAATGTAGTGCATTTGTAGGAAAAATTATTTCAAGTTTAACCAATTATAAAAACTTATGAGTTAACATTAATTATGATAATTTGTTATCCTAGTTAAGTAAAGAATAGTTTTTTCATTCAATATTTCAGTTTCTTTTTCAATCTAGGAATTGCAATCTATCCAAAGATTAATTTTGTTAAACCACTTTAGCTTTTTCCAAGAGGATTTCTTGCATTAATATATAGGAGTTCTAACATTCAAATATTTTCTTGGCAACTAGTGAAACCAAATTTATTTTTGCTGTAAAAAAAAAAAAAAATAAAAAAAAATGAAGAGAATTTTTTTTTTTGAGTTTTCTTACTTTTAAAAATAGAACTGACAACAAAAGCAAATTTCATGAATAATTTCATCTAAAAATGATTTACCTTTTGAACATGGAGGTGCTTAAAAGTTAAAAACTTACCAAAAAAAAAAAAAAAAAAAATAAATAAATTGATAAACCTTTAATTATATATGTAACTATTTTGTTGCATTTTAGAAATATAAAATGTACAAAGTTTTTCTAAATGTTAAAGGTATCATAAAAACAGGTTTCAAAAGTTTTTGTTTAACTCTTTACAGAATTGTAAATATCAATACTTAACAAAATTCATGAAAACAAAGGCATGTCATTAAAAATATGTATTCATTTCTTTGTATATTCAGTGTATTAAGAAAAGTTTTCTATAGGACAAAACAACAAGGTGAAAGGTTTTCAGCCAAGAATCACTTCTTTGCAAAATTCTGTTTAGGATTGGGAAAGTGGGTCAGCCTGAGAATTTTTCATATAACATTAAAACATTGTAAAAGTTTTGAGTCTGTCAAAAACTTTGTTTTACCATCTTGTATATAATTCTTCTGTTATTTAGATTTCAAATGAAAATTAATAATATATTCCTTGCCAATCCTGTTTGAGAATTTTCAATATATTGTAAAAATGTTTTTATTCTTGCAACTGAATTGTAAATATCTAATGATTGAACAAAATAGTAAAGATGATCAGAATATAAAATGTGAGAACATCAGCTGATTTCTTCTGTTCAATATAGACAGACAACTTGAATGAAACCAATGACAAAATTAATGTTTTGTAGAGTATAATATAAAATTAAAAAAATATAGGTTTAATATTATCATTCAGTGAAATGTGATTTTTCAAAATATAGAAATATTCTTAGACTATTTAACATTGTTAAGATAAAATAACTATAAAAGCCGCAGGCTTGACAACTGATTCTAAATTTATATTAATAAAAAGCTTAATTGCCATAGATGCTATATTTTTGGATCAGGTATATTCTTTTTGAATTAGTTTTTATTAATAAATTTGAAAGAATTTTATTACTAGTAGGTTTCTTTGAAGTTTTAATTATAACTAATTTTCAATATTTTTAATGAAGAAATAAATTTTCCATTTTTGCAGACATTCTTGCATTTTTTCCCCATAACATTAGAAAGTTCATTGCGATTGTCTAACTAGTCAGCATTGCCTTTGTTAACTTATATATATATATATATATATATATATATATATATATATATATATATATAGGCTTTGTGTTCTCTTTATTGTTTCACTGGCTGTTGGCCAGTTGTTTGTGTGGTAGTTTGAACATGCTTTGTGAATATTGGGGATTATTTATTAGTGAGAAATAATTCATTCATTGATCCCCAAAATGGGAATTTAACACCAAATTAAATAATGAAAATATTAAGTAATTAAAAAATTTGAACATATGTAAATAGAATCCAGAATGTTTTTTAAAGATGTGCATCAACATCCCAATGGATTATGAAGTACGAAACAATATTTTTTTTTGCCTATCTGTATAGGTTTATTATCTAAATTAGCAAACGATGAGTTGTAAATAGCTATCCTTTGAGTGCTTTTCCTAATCTTGATAAAAAAACAGCAGATTGCTATTTGGTCAGTTCACATATGGCTGAAGAACAGCTTTGATTCCCTGTTTAAATGGAGTCCGCTTTGGTTTGATTCCCATATTCTCAAGTCGGTCAGAACTAAGGTGGGCATTGTAAGGTCGAGGTGCTCCAGTACAAACAGTTTTATCAGCAATAATGTGATCAGGACTGAGGGAAAATACACTTCTCATTGCAATAGCCATATCATACTTTGTCATATTTTCATCTCCACTCCAATGAAATATTCCACCCATATTTTCCCCTTTGACTTTCCTTTCTGTCATGGCAAGAATAACAGATGCTACATCATCAGTGTGGGTTGGATAGCGACGCTCATAGTCAGACATTTTGCAAGAGACTGCATTTCTGATATTTTTCCATAAAATTGTCACTGCACTTTCTTCTAAATTCTCTATTTGTCCATACAAAATTGGCACACGAAGAATAGCAAATTCTGAAAGAAAAATGAAGGACAAAGTGATTTAAGAAAAATTAGTGGAAAAATGGGTTCATGTTTACAAATTTATCATTGTAATATAATTATAGTAAATTTTGGGTACCAATTTTCTTAGTAAAGAATCAATTTTTAAAAAGTCTAAAGACAATAAAGGCCAAAGATTTTTCAATAGGTCCTAATAACTTATTGTCATTAATCTTTTTATTTTAAGTGAAGTGAATGTTTAGAATAGTTTTATATTAAATACATGTGAGATAATTTAAAAAAAAAAAAAAAAAAAGCATAGATACTAATTACAAAAATTATAACATTTTAAATATCAAATACAGTTGGAACAATTTTGCAAGTTTTAATCAGTAACATTATAATAAACTTGTCCAATAGATAAATTTAAAAACGAATAATAAGTATGATTTCATTGATATATATTACTCTCATCATGACTAAAAATGACTTTTGGTTCTTATTGACAGGAATAACATTCTCTTTTTTCTTATATATCTACTGTTATGTCTTTTCCTTTCTAACTCTGCCTAATAATCCACGCAACAACTTTTCTTTGATACCTAAAGTCTTAACTATCTAGAATTTTAAGTGGTTCTGTGTTTCTTTCAGATGAAAGCCACAACAATTCAACAAAAAGTTTAGAAATGATAGCAAAAAGAAAACAATAAAAGTTGAGTACATGTATATACTCAACCAAATATTGTTACTTTATACACTGTTTTTTTTGTGTAGTTTCCTCATCTTTGTTATTTTTATCACTATTTTGGCCAATGTACACTTGCTTTCCTCAGATGTCTGTTGCACTTAGTAATCCTTGGGAACTATCAAATAGTACTCTTTATCTGTTATTCAATGTATAAGTGTGTAATTTTGTAAGAATTTCAGGAGTTTCTTCCAGCAATAATGATGTGAATCTGATGTAAAAAATTATCAAGAATACTATTTATTACATTCTATTTGCTTACTTTCACCATTTACAACAATTAAAATGTTTTTCTTTTATACTTCAAAATATCAAAATTTTCTTCACTGCTTTTAAACAATTTGCCATATCAGAATATTCTGCAATCCTATAAATGAAATTCTAACAGATTACCCAAAAATTGTTTCCCTTCATTGCAATCAAAATTATTTACAGATGTATTCTTTGTCTGTTCATTTCATACAAAATCTGAATATTACTCATCCAAAAATGATTTTTCATATATGAAAGTACACTCCTCTTTTAAAAGTAAATTAAAAATATCAAATCTAGTCACTACAATTTGTTTGTAATCTAGAAACAAATTTACCCGCATGATTCTTTTTAACAATCTCTTCTCCTTGCAGCTTGGAGAGGCCATATTTGTTCAAAGGATGGGGCTGGGCATCTACTTGGTAAGGAGGTTCTTTGCCATCAAATACATAGTCGGTACTGATATAAAGTAACCAGGAACTGCATTCAACTACAAGAGAAAATATAAACCATCACTACAACTGCTTGTCATATTTTAGATACTATATTGGTTATGTTTAAGCTTAACTAAGTCTGTCTGGGACTGTCCCAGATTTTGGGATCTGTCCCACTGATATAAGGCTATCAGTAATGATGAATGAGTTTAATCTGAATTTTCACAGATTCAACTTGTGAAATAAGATTTTCAAGATAAGGAATTAAGATTCAGAAAATATCTTTGATTAAACTTCAGAATGCGCTTTTTTTTTTTTTTTTTACATATCCATGACAAATTGAGCAAATGATTTTCAGACTAATTATCAAATAATTTTCACTTAGAAGTTTCATTTTTTGGATACCATTGTGTAATCTCTTTTCATCTAAAGCAAAAAATAACATTTGAATTTTTTTTTATCTCAGAAGTCACATTTTAATTTCTTGATATATTAATAAGATTATATAGCTACTATTGAAAATCAGTGATCAGTAATCAAAGCATAATCTAAAATGCATAATGTCAATCATGTTTGTATAATTCCTTTGAAACAAATATTTGGTATCAAAGTATTACCAAATATTATATCATATTGTTTTTATTTAGTTTCATTACCCAAAATATTATATTTTGCAGTGTCATATTGGCAATGTGGTAAGCACAAGTGGCATGTTTGATTTACATGCATTTGCAAATCATTTGCATAGCTAAGTTCTTCTGTTGTACAGGATGAGAAGGAGCACTTTCCATCTACCAGCAGATGTTAAATGCAAATCAGATAAAGAATGCCTTTGCAAAGTATTCATTTGCAGCATATAAACAATTTGTAATCCAGATAAATCTGTGACAGAACTGCAGAAATTAATAATACATTTTTTTAGAAGAATGCTTGAACACAGTCTAGCAGCATGCACATTTATAGCATGACTGCCATCCCATGCAAAGCAGCTTCTTTGTAACTCTTCCAGGATGAATGCATTGGTAGCCTGATTTTGGGCAATCATGAAAGACAAAATGGCAATAGAAAAAGGGCTACATCATTTCTAGCAGCTGCATAAACAATGACACAGAGTTATTCTCCAACTGTAGATCCATGTGCCTACATAATCTACTACAAATGCATTAGTCCAAATCATATTGTAAAGGATTATTTAAGTCTACAAGGTAGACAAGAACAAACATATTCAGCTAGCAATACAACTAGTACATGTTTTGAGAGTGTTCCAGAAAAGAGGCTAGGGACAAAATATTTTTCTTCCCCAGGCAAGCTTTGAATGTAGTTATTATCTGTCAATGAAATCCAGTCAACAACATATTGTGCTTGTTGGCCTTCCTCAACTGAAGTTGCTCCCGCTCAATAGTGTGAAGCTTAAAAAACCCTCAAATATGGTATGAGAAAATCCATTATTCTTTGATGTGTTCCTTGAAGTCATAAAAGGTACCGGATTATGTTCATATTACACAAACGAGAGCATAAAATAACCAGAGCTAAAATATCAAATAATGAATGCATCTGAATAATTGTATAGATTAAAAGAGATCTCAAGCTCAATATTTTTTGGTTAATTCTGTTTGATTTATAGTTATAAGATAAACTTAAAAATACAATGCAAATTACTTTTCAGTTCCAACAACTTTCAACTGAAGAGAAATATTTTTTAGCTTCACCTTTCTATTTAATAGCCAGTCAACTCATAGTGCAACTGAGGGTCAAAACAGTAGGCCTATTTCAAATCTTGTTCAACTTGAAGCAACGATTTTCAGTTTCAGATTGGGTTTACAGAAGTTCACTGCTATAGTTGGCATAAGAAATCCAAAGAAAAAGTATAGAGACTAAGAGCATAATTACAAATAGTATATAATTTGGCAGAACTTCAGATCAATCACCCCCATCACCACAAAATTTTATATGGATTTTAATCTTTGAATTATCCACTTTTAATGAAACAAAAATCATATTGGAACAGCTCCACTTACACCAATTATTGGTGAACAAAAATATGACATGAAACAAAATAAACATGAAAGTGACTTATTCTATTGTTTAGAAATGAAATAACTATTGTTATCCTAACTTATTTTGTCATAAATATACATTTTTATGATTAGAGAAGTCTTTAGACAAAAATTGGCTCATAAAAATGTGTGATTTAGCAGCAGATTATGTTTTCATACACCATGTTTACAATATCTAAAATTATCAAATTTATTGAATTATGACATTTGATTTACCCAATTACATTCTTAATAATTGAATTTTTAATTAATTTTGTAATATAAAACTATTACATTTGCTCCTATTTTGTGCTTTTATTGTTAAATTTTAATTACCTATTACAAAAGAAAAATTACTAAAAAAATAAATTTTATATTTTAATATATTATAAATAGCAATATCAAAGAAAAATATTAAATAAACTTTGTGACAAAGAGCATTTTTAAATAAATTTTGTAATGCAAAACAGAATCTAGGAGAAAAGTCTTAGAAGAAATATTACTATTAAAAATTCAGGGTAACAAAACATTAAAATTATCTTTCTTGAGAGAGAGACTATGTAACAAGCATCTGAGTAAGAACTAGTATGGATTTTGCCTTGTTAGATCCACAGCCGAGGTCTCAACTGTCATTACTCACAGAATCAGCATGGCACTAGATTAATAAATTCATCATGAGAACTATTGCTCTGGATATATCCAAGGTTTTGAGAAGGTGTGAAAACCAGCGGCTGCTATATATACTCTCCAGCTATAGAATTTCTGCAAGGGCTTTCTCAGTTACTGAATCCTTCCTAACAGTTAAGTCTCTGAAGGACATTGTTAATGACATTGGAAGCTCTTAAGATCGATGCCAGTGTTTCACAGGGTTTATTCCTTGGTTTTACCCTCCTTCTACTGTATATTAATGATCATACTCCAATCATTGAGTATCTATGTAAATGATACAACAAAAATCTGGAATTCTAACCTAACCCAGGTGGCTCAATGGAGAAAAAACTGGGTTCTAAAATTCAATAGAGCCAAAACCAAAACTAGTAATATTCCACCACCATAACCAAACAAACTTTCAATTATCATGATGGATAGGTGTTCTCTAAAGGAGACTCCTGGTCTTGAATGTCTGTTTGAACTCAAGATCTTTGCAGGCCTAAAATGGAGCTCATATATCCAATCTATTGCTAATGGTGATGGAAAAATGGTTGGTTCATTGTACCACTCCAGTAACTATCTGATTCCTCCTGCTATACTTAAAATGCTTTAAAAGAGCTAGATCAGACCAAAAGTGGAGTATTGCTGCCATATCTCGCTGGAACTGCCCAGTCCTCATTTGCTTGTCTTGATAAAGTTCAAAAGTGCTTATATGGTCTTGTGGATGATAAATTATTTTCCACCCTGCAACCCTTTTCACACAGATAAAATGGCAACTCTTGCAGCTCTGTCCCACCAGCCCGGAATTTTTCACCTGGGAGCTGCCATGCCACATACACAAGGATGAACCATCACAATTCCCTTTGCATTCCATCAGTAAGACTTTCCACTCAGACAGCTTCTCTCCAAGAACTGCTGCTTTGTGGAACAGTGTTCTAGCATGATGTTTCCCAATCACTATAATCTTGACCTAGGGTTAACTCTATGGTTAACTATTAATCTTGACCTAGGGTTAACTATTATTTTTCTTGCATAATCTCACAAACTTCACTTCTAGCCCCTTTCATATGCTCATACAACACCACATATATCCAATGAATTTCATCATCTAAGACTAAGTATAGTTATTCTCTTTGATATGAAATAAGCGCTATAAAAAATTTCTTCAAAAGAGCGCATGAGAATTCATTCTATAGTCCGTTTTCTTTAAAGAACTCAAAATGAAACAGACACTAGTTAATAATGGTTTTTCAAATTACCTCATAAATTAGGCTCTTTCTTTCTAAGGTAACTAATAGCAACACTGAACATTAACATTTTCTATAAAAATCAAATAAACAGTAACTAGAAGCAGGATGAATTTTAAAGAAATACACAACTCTAGTTGGCCAGAGCAAGAAAATTAAATTATCTACTAAAAAAATTAAAACAGCTAACCTTATCTTCAACAACAACTCACCTGCAAATTACAGAGAACCAACATTATTTATGAATTCACATGTCCTTTAAGGAAATATGCTGACTGTGTTTGAAAAAAAAAAAAAAAACCCAAACATTCCTATATCTCTAGATACATAAAAAAATCCATACATCTAGTTAAAAATAAAAATAATCCTTGATAATAGCTAAAAGAATAGCCAAAAGCATTTGGACATACAGAACATTCAGAAAATTTTTACATACTTTATATAAAGAAAAAAAAATTATATGTACACAAGAAAAAAATTAAATAAAATCTTAATTTCAGTATCTTGTCAGTCATTTTTAATGAAACTTGTATGCATGTATATATAAAATTTGTAATAAAGACTAGAAAAAATGTAATTATTTCTTTAAATTAAGTACAATTAAAATATTAGATTATAGTATAAAAAGTGTGGTAAAAAAATCAATATCCTTTTTTTTTTACTTGTTAGAAACAGAAATATAGATTATGCAAAATAAAGTTGATCATTACTGTATTTGCTTTCATGAATAAAAATTTCATAGAGAAGAATATTAAATTAACTTTAAGTGGAAAAAGTTAAATTAACTTCCCAGTAACAACATCAAGATTACTACATGGCATTTTGGGTGGGGGTGGGGGAATTTTGAAGAAAAAGTTTGTTTTGGTAACAAACAAAATAATATTGCTATATTTGAAGGAAATAAAATCTTTTACAAGGTATCCCAAACTAAAATTTACTTTCAATATATCTAAAAAAATTTAATACAGACCAAGAGCTTAACAAAACATTAAAAATTGGCACTAAATTTATCTTGGTCAGAACTTTGAAAATTTTCCATCTCATATGCTATTGGCCTAGAAGCCAATTTTAGCAGTGTATAACTGAAGATGCCAGCTTCAGTTAAAAATCCTTATAAATGTAATGTTATATGGGTAGTCTTGAAGTAAAAGAAGTATAATCCTAATGGAATCAATTATTAGATTAGATCAACCTAAACTTTGTGAAAAATGACATTCTCAAAAATGAAACATGACACAGAAGGACAATTCTGACTGTTCATACAAGTTTCATTTCAATAGTTAATGAAACTAAATTTTCCTTAGTAGTATATCAATAAAAAAGAAATTCATATTTAACCATGTAAAAAAGCAGAGATATAAATAGGTTAAAATTATACAAACTGAAACTTTACTAATTTGGGGATGAGGAATTCAACAAAACAGATTGTTTGTAATAAGAACTTATGTACCTAATTTTGGAAAAGTTTATGAAATTATACAATGCCAAAAAAAACTAATGACTACAAAACTTAGAAATTTGTTTCATGAAATGAATCATTGGTCAATCCTTCAATCAAATACTTATATTTATCTTCATTTATCTTCAAACTAAAAAAACTAAAATGAATAAATGTATAAAAATACATTTATTTTAACTGATTAAAAAGACTTTCTAGACAGGAGGAATGGTCCTCCTGAATTTCCTCTTCTAATAGTGATTTGCAGCATGAATTTGTAAGCCAATATTATATTTTATAGCCTATATTCCTGGAACAATCCATATCCTACTATATATATTTTTAATGTCTATTCCTTTAATCACAGTTTTTAACTTTATTAGCATACACTGCAAGGAATTTGGAAACTACTTCAACTTAAGTGATAACTACTTCTCAGGGCACTGAACAAAAGATTATATGTAAATTTTATTAAACACCCAGGTAGGTCGTTCTGGTGTGGAAAGCACCAATACATTTAAAAAAAAAAAAAAAAAAAAAAGTAACAGACACTTGCTTTAAAAGATGTTATGCTTATTATCTTACATAACAATGTTTTGATAATGGTTTAAGGAAAAAAAACAAAAACAAATAGACAACACAAGAACAAATAAAATGTATCCATTTTAAAAAAAAAAATGTAACAATTTCATTTTAACTGCCATAATAAGACTTAATCCCTAGAATTAGTAAACATTAGAAAGGGGAGAGGTGGTTTTATCTTAATTTTAAGTGTTTCTTCTTGATAGATTGTTCCTTTTGAAGTTTGGTCTTCTAACTTTAACTGAAGGAGAATGGGAAGTAAATGGGCATTATCACAAGTATCACTTACTACCCACCTGGATAAACAGGTGAAGCCCTGAATAAAATATCTACATATAATATGAGAAACAGTTTCTGTTCTTATTTCTCAACATGGCATTTGTCTTCCATTGCATTACCTTGTGAGTATGCAGTACACCCTTCTCCAGCTTTCAATGCACACAAACAAGATAAAGAATTGTAATGCAACATGGGGTAATGATTGGCTGTCAGTGGAAAACTTGGGCAAGGATCATGTTGTATGTTTACAACTGTGACCAAGGATCATTTCAACCCTGAGGAATGGATACAGAATGCTGGAGAAAGCAAATAATCAGTATAAAAAGAAAGAAAATTGAATGTAGTAGGAAAAACCTTGGAAGAAAAGGCTTAGCAAAGCATCCCTATGCAACAAAGAAACGAAAAAAGTAAAAGTAAACGGGCAGCAAAGAGACCACCCTGAAAAATAAGAGGAAGAAAAAAAAATAGAATGGAACGCACATATATGTGAGATAGTGAAAGAAAGGGATATACATGCGTTTGCATCACATCAAGAAAAAAAACATAAGCTCAGAAAATCCAACAAACGTTTTGACCAGATAAAAGAAAAAGAACATAAAGAGACACAATGTACTTAAACACAAATACAAAAAAAAAAGAAAAAGTAAGAAAAGTAAAAGCCCTATTCATATTGCCAGCCATCACATGAGTAAATGGGTAAGGGGTTGGTAGAAGGAAGAGCTGATATAGAAGAAATTATCCCAAGTATCACCTACCTACTCACCCAGATAAGCAAGTGAAGCCCTGAATAAAATATCTTCATCTAATATAGGAAACAGGGTTTCTGCATATATTTCTTGATGTGGCATTTGTCTTTCATTGTGTTAACGTGCAAGCATGAAACATCCCTTCTCCAGTTTTTTGGTGCACACTGACAAGATTGAGAATCAGAATGCAATATGGGAGTGGAATGATGATCATTGGTCAGTTGGTGAAAAGCTTGAGTGAAGGTAGCATTGTATGTTTACACTTTAAGATCAAACTATTTTCATGTGGTGGGAGACACAACAAGTTTGAAAAACACCATTATGAAATTGCCAATTGGCAATTTCATAATGGTTTTTTTCATGTGGAAAAAGAAATGCTCATCATTAAAATAGGGATAGAATTTAAAGAGACATGAAATAAAAACTAATCAACAGACGAGAAAAAAAAATTGTATCTTTATAAAGAGAAAAGATTAAATTTTGGTTACATACTAGTTTTGTCAAAATAGCCAAGAAAATAAATGAGACATCAACAATTGGAATTTTCAAATAAGGAAATTTCACTATTTTGATACATTTTCACAATGTAAATGCAGACAGCTTGGAATACTTACTTCAATTAAATGAACTAACGTTATTCCAAGTGTAAAAAATTTTTTAAGGGAAGTGTTGCAAATCTAAACTGAATGTAAAACGTGTCACTCCTAGTGGAATAAGATTTGAAATAGGCTGAATTGAATATAGAATTTAATGAAAAATAATATCAACAAATTGGAAAAAAAAATCTTTATATATTTATAATTAATTTGTACAGTTTACCTGCTGCTTCACACATTGTTTTTGTTGCCTCTACATTCAGTTGGTAAGTAGCTGCTGCTTGATATTCTACAACATCAGGACGTCTCTCGGCAGCACAATGGATAATTACATGAGGCTACAAATTAGAAAATAAGAATCACATCACTAATGAAAATCAATTTATTAACATTGCAAAATATCATTACAAGACTCAATTGTAAGATATCAAGCAATGCTTGTGCAAGAAATTTTTAAAGTGGAGAAAGGTGTTGCACTGAATCAACCCCACTCTGTAAAGAAAAACAGCATGTATTCAAAAAAGAAGAACCAGTCAACATCATAAGATGCTCTTAAACAGCATGTGCTACATCAGAGTTTTCCTTTTCTTAGCTGGATACCTTAATGAAAATTATGGAGCCCAACACTCCTCAGTGTGCTTACTGTATGCCTGGTATACCCAGGTAATATCAGCCTGTGTATATTTGATCAACTTCTAGAGCAGCACTGGGTCAAACTCATCAATCTCAGAAATGGGGAAAACTAATACTTATATGCTTTAAAATCTCAGATTCTATATCTTGAGCTACAAGTAATTACTTTAGATCAATAGAGATCAAAAACAAAAATCCTACCTTAAAATTTTGAACAGTTTTCAAAACTTCGCTTTTCTGGTTCAAGTCCAACTTTATGAGATCTCCATTTGCTCGAGAAAATGCTGTTCCAAGGACTTCCCAATATTGCAGTTGAGCAGAGAAAGCTTTTTTTATAGCACGACCCAATAAACCAGATGCACCAGTTATCAGAACACGGTTTTTCACAAATGACATCTTGCAACAATTCTTGATTAAAAAAAAAAAAAAGGAAAATGCTTTACAGCATGGAAGTATTAAAATTAGAAATAAAACACATACTTTTCATGATACAAAACATGACATAAATTTTTGAATAAATATACACTAAAATGTAAGTAGTGTTTTAAAACATGTTAATATCTAAATAGGTCATGGGCTGTTAAACATTATTCTATTCAGAGTTGTTAAATTGAGAATTTTATTATTATGAGGTAATGGTCTGAAAAAAAAAAAAAAATAGATGTCAGTTTAAATTCTAAAATCAAAAGAAAGTTACAAAACAAACAAACATATAAAATAATAAAAACTAGCTGTACCTGTGGAAATTCTGTGGAGTTTTATCACTGATTTTTAGGTTAAATTATGAACATAAGTACTGTTTACTCACCATCAAGATTGATGTCAGAAATAAATTACTTATGCATGCTTCTTTGCAATTTTAATTATTCATATGAAAATACTTTTAACAGGGAGTTCTTAAACACCAGGTGGTGAAGCGGAGGGATCTGAAAGGATTTACTTATTCCAAAATATTTACAACATCAGTTTACACTTCTAAATATTCATTTTTGATATCGTTGGTAGAACTTGTTGCCAAGCATTGGTGGGGGGGGTGCATTGACATTTCTTTCTGTATGAAATGAGTACTATGTTGGATCTGAAGAGATTTCCACAGCTACCATATGGTAGGTAGAAGGGTTCACAGGATGGAGAGCTCTGGCTTTTCTTCAGGCTTCCTTTGTTTCTTTTTATTTATTTTATGTTGTTTTTGAAGCATGCTATTTTTTTCATGGACTGTTCTTCTCCCATTATTTTTTCTACAACTTCTACCTCCCAATTGACCAGATTGATTTTTGTCTGTGCAAGGTGTTTTAAGCTGATCTATGAATTGATGGTATGGGGCTCCACATGGTCTCTTGCCAGATGAGGATTTGTTTTGGCAGGTAGATGTCTGGCACTAGAGCAAGTTGTCTGATCCAGCAAATCATAATGGTTCTTAGACTTTCCATTTTCGTGCAGAGAATAACTATGTTGTTTGTGATCCATAGGATGTGATGAAGCTTCATTTGTTGGAATTGCAAATGTCTCTTTGGTAGAGTACTCAGGTCTCATAAGTGTACAGGAGAGTTGAGATCACAACAGCTTGATAGACCATAAGCTTGTGGCTTATGTTTGCCCAGGATTGCTTAACACTCTTTTGAATAACTTAATGCATGCTGCGTGAGTGGCCTTGATTTGGTTATCAAAGTCTTTTTCAGTGGATGCTTTTGATGTTAATATGCTGCCAAGCTATGGAAATTGTTCAACATTCTCCAGGTCTAGTCCATTAATGGTATTTTTGCCTTTAGGTGGTAGTTGATGTTCCAGTTGTGGTTGAAGCAGGATCTTGGTATTTGCCATGTTGATGGTGAGTTTGTAGTACATGTATGCACTGGTGAAGTTGTCTGCTGAATTCTGAAGGTTTACAAGTCCATGGACCAAGGTGAAGCTCTGCGACTCATGCTTTTTGTTCAAGTCCTGGATTGGAGGCAAGCTATGTTGAAGAGGTCACCATTGGTGTGGTATTGAAGGTCAATTCCAGGTTTGTCGTCTTGAGTCTCTCAAAGCATTCAAAAATTTTTTTTTTTTTTTCAAAAAAATATATTTATATATATATATATATATATATATATATATATATATATATATATTTTCAATGAAAATACTCATTTTCCTCATGCTATACAAGTAAATGTTCTAATAAAAGTCTGTGGAAATTGCTAATAAAATTTCAATTAGTAGTGAACATTTATGTACATATAATTTTTTTTCCAATACTATATGATTATAGTATTGAAAAAAAAAAATATTTATATTTATTTTAGGGAAACATTTGCATCTACAACAGTACATCTTTATTTGTGTTCTTTGGTGCAAAGATAAATTTCACACTAACTTATTATACTGTCAAATTTTCACTAACTTATTATACTGTCAATCTTCATTCTGAAACAGAACAAAGGCAATATGGCACTCACAAGTTAATTATAATCAAAAAAATTTAAATATGAATCAACCAGATTTTTAAATGAATCAATTATAAATTCAATTAAATATCTTCATTTATGTAACTAAAATTTAAATAAATAAATAAAAATCAATATTTAATTGAATAAAATCTTTAAGAAATAATTCTTTATAAAAAGTTTAACATCAATTTCGGTTTTCCTCAGAATTGGAATTGATAAGATTTAATTAAACTTTAATTAAAATAAAGGGCAAAGTAAATTGCTCAGCAAGAGTTACAGATGTTTAAACAGTGGATATCATATATATTTCAAACCTAGATTTATATAAAGAGTTGTCTATTTGATATATTGCAAGGCTTGGGTTCCTGAGTACTCTTTAAAGTCTGACTTTAAATAAAAACTCAAAAAAAAGGGAAAGCAAACTAAGTAGATACTATACCATATAGAAAATTTAAGAGAGTATATTTGTAAAAGGACAATATCAAGAAAGACAAAAAAACTTATCTTAGCCAATGTGTTTCATCCTCTGATAGACTTTATCAAGGTAAATGCAAGGATTTTATTTCATAACAAGTGTTTATTTACAAGAACAAAAATGTTATTGGTTTTTCATCTTTTTTAAATTCATCAGGTTAGCCAAAAAGTCTAGGCTGACTATGAAGGATGCCAAATGATATAATCGAATGTCTAATAAATGAAAGTGAGTAAATGATGTTCTTGAATTTTTTTTTTAAATTCAAATTAGTATTTAAATTATTTTAGTTTGGGATTAATTTATGTGTTATATATTATAAATAATATGAGGTTATAGATTTAACCATTTTCTTTTAATTTTTTAACATTTTTATAGTCATGTATGTTGCCTTGAGAAAGTAGTAATTTTTCAGGAATGGAAATATTTGAAAAAATCTGGAGTGCAGATTTATATTTTGATAAGATTCAATAGCAGCACTCTTGAGGTTTTTCTCAGTAAGTTACTTTTTCTTTTAATAAGTAACATTGTAAAGTTGTGGTTGAATTTATACATAGAAAATTTAGGTGGATGTAGGGGTCTTAAATAGTTTTTATTTGCAAAATAATCCTTGATCATATTAATTTGTGTATGTAAAATGTGTACAATGAACTAATAGTCTTTATTTGTTGGGTACAAAGGAGTTTAGGGGTCTACTCTGTTTTCAATAGAAATTCATAGTAAATTGATCTCCTGGGAAATAGCCAATCTCTATAGTCAAGAAGTGTGATTACTTTTAATTTTGAAAATATTTTTTTCAAGCAGAGACAGCTAAGTGACTTTTTTTTTTTACCACAGAGGCAATTTGGAAAAAGCTGAGATGACAACCGATTGAAAATCAAAGTAGAAGTTATGAAAACATCTTCTAGGGACTAGCCAGGAAAGAATGCCGATTGAAAAGATAATAATATTTGGCAATTTTTAAAGGCAGGGCAGGATTGAAAACCTGATTTATTCCATCTATCTGAAAGGGGAAATTGTAAACAAGTCAAGAAATAGAATTTCTTTATGTAAAGACCCATCCCAGGATTCTTAGAGTGTGATAACCCTAACAAGATATGGAGATAGCTGACCGGAGGAAACAGTTGGTAAATTTCTGATTGTATGAATGAGGACAAGCTGGGAATGATAATTCTAATTAATGACCAGAAGCTAAGCCACACTACGTGGTTTGAAAACCAGATTTGTCAAAAGGACAACCTTGGTGACAGATGTAGGTGAAATCCCAAGAAGGATAGAGGAATTACCTACACCCATTGGAAGCTTATGGTATGAGGCACAAATAAGAGAAAGAAAGAGTTATCAGAATGGATTGGTGTCTGTGAATAGGAAAAAATATCTCCCAAATTTGAAGATGTAATTAATTTTCCAAAGCCAGATAACAAAGAACTCTTGGAAAATAGGGGAAACAACAGGCCCCTAACCACATCAATCCCCATGCTAGTCTTGGGTAAAAGTCAATATAAGCAGAATAGTGAAGCGACCAGACCAGTTCCAGAGTTGCCAGCCAGAGATGCAGACTAGACCAGATAGCTGGAGAAGCTGCTGAATTCCATGTGACTTGTTGCCAAAGTGAACTCCTAACTTAAGCCATAGTCCAGACTTAGCTAAATTAAGCATATAGAATAAAAACTTGTATTCTTGTTCGTTAAATAGGAGTATGATAATTTTATGGACAAGATAAAATTAAAGACATCACTTGGATGCCAATGACCAAGGAAGAACATAAAGAGAACACAATCAATTAAGATTGTCAATTCAATAACTCTTTACCAATTTTGACATTTTTTTTTCTTAGTAGCAACTCCGTTATTTTATTAATGCATTTTCTTAAATTCAGAATAATTTTTAAAATTCACATTCAATGTAATTATATTTTATGGTATGAAACAAGAAAAAATAATAAAAAGATAAAAGCAATGAATTAAGCTCAAAAGTATAATTTAATTTGATATTTTTATACTTTCCTCCTCACTTCTTCCTAACTGATCTTGTACTTTAAGCATCCACTTTAAGTCAAGATTAGGACGGAAAGGTGGCGACTCACTTCATCAGAATTTGGCAAAAGGTGGGTGCATCTTGCACGTTTGTGTCATGTGAAAGGGGCTGACCTTGAGTGGCACATTGATGCTGGTTAGGCATCAGGATATTGCTCTTCCTGGGTTGAACTCGTGTAACCCATCCCGAAACTAGGTTAGATTAGGTTTAATTTTGATGCTTTAGTTTCTTTTACTTCCAATTAACTTAGCTAGGGTATGTATGCTCATTGGCCCCTTTTATTTCTGTCCCTATTTTTATTTAAGTTTAATTCCCCATCACCTCTCTCGTTAGGTTGTCAGTGACGTCAGTAGTATATATGCTGGTAGATGCAGGGCGCCTTTCGTTTCGCATGAGTGTTTTTTCGTTTTTGTTGTTGTGCTTGAATGAGTGCATGTCAGTGTGAGTGCTTAGGATGA